GTGATATGATCGGTGGCGCCTGAGTCAAGGACCCAAGATCCAAGAGAGTGAGTCAGACCAAAAAAAGGAGTACCTGTGCGTATAACAGAAGCAAATGTAGTGGAACTAGAGTGTTGACGGTCCTCATACCATCTGAGAAATTCTTGAAAGAGTGCAGGGTTGTTTATGGTATTTGATGAAGTAGGATTGTCTGCAGACGGTGATCGGGGAGGTGGATCAGAATTAGCCATTGTTATAGGTCGAGGAGGACGTCCATGAAGCGCATAACATCTATCAATTTTGTGGCCTAGCTTGCCATAGTGGTCACATTTTGGACGTCCTTTACCTGGCTGGCGAGACCGACTCTGATCATCATGATGGGCAGCCATGGAGAGGGAGAAACCCTAAAAATCCAAAGTGCTCCGATTGACGCAATGACAACGGATCCAGAAAGAGGACGAGGAGGCGATCACGACGGTCCTGGTCGGTGGCGGATCTCGCAGGCGACGCGCCGGCACGCACGGCGGGAAGCGGCGGATCTGGTGACTTTTGCGGTGGCAAGTGGATGGTCCGTTCATCGGTCGATTCTGGAACTCCGGCGGCGGCGACGACAACTGCGACGACGACGACTGCGGTGGCGATGGGTACCGGAGACTGTGGAACTGGCTGGAACAAAACCTAAGCTCTGGATACCATATTAGAATGTGGGTTTTAGCCTAACTCAACCCCACAAAACCGGCTTGTAAGGTGAGGTTTACACCTCACTTATATATTATAATTTGACCTTATCTCTAGTCGATGTGGGACTTCCAACACACCCCCTTCAAGCCGAGGTATAGACATCTCGTGCGTGATAGTAGAAATTGGGTGGTCCGATAACGGCCCGATAGCGGGTGGAATAGAAATGCCCAAGAAACAAGAAATATCGCTAGGATACGCTCTAACCATGGCTCTAATACCATATGAAATAGTAGAGAAGATTAGGAGAAATCTCCCTTATGTGTTTAGCATACACATAGGGTAGTTTATTTATAATGTAAGATAAGGGTTAAACCCTAAATACAGAATGGGCTGAGTCCAATTAACATAAACACACAACTTAACATCTTAACATCTGAAAAGTATATATTATGATATGTGAACAATTACTTGTCATAATATATTCTACATATTATGATAGGTGAAAAAATCTACATCATAAAACGATACATATTATGATAGGTAAATCCAAGTGTATCATAATAAATTCGTTATATTATAACTGATAAGTGAAAATTTGTAATAATACACTGGACCTATTATGATAAGTGACAGTAAGTACGTCATAATATGCTGGACCTATTATGATGGAGTTTTCTGTATGTCATAAAATGCGCAGACCTATTATGATGCCCAGAACTATGATGCTAGGTTACCTATCATAATAGGTCATTTTTACCTATCATAAAAAACTAATTTTTCCACTAGTGAAACTACCGTATGTCGTGTTTCTATAAATTTCACAATAAGTGCCTATAGGAGAAGAAAACACAAAACCAAAGCGAATTAAGGTGCTTGCATAAGCTAAAACTAACCTTCCAAAGAACCTAGGTTTGCTCCTACCTTCACTCCTATGTAGCTTTCTTTGAAGCGGGTCGAATCACTGCTTGACCAGAACAAACACTGAAGGAACTGATTTCAATCGGTTAAAAATGAAGGAAAAGACAAATTAATCGGTCAAAAGGTGAGAAGATGAAGATATGAAGAAACCCTAGCAGTTGAGGGTGAAAGATGTTAGTGAGAGGCTAAGACACTACAAGAAAAATGTCATTTATATACGGATTCTGATTCTAAATAAAGGTTTCATTATATACAGATTTTATATACGAATTAGTTAGATACAGATTTTTCTATATATAATAGGAAAAAGTATATATACAGATTTTTTGTATGTGTAAAATCGGTATATAATGATGACTCCTTTTGGCAGGAGCTTTGTCAAAGATAAATGTGTATATAAAATTCGTATTTAAGTGGATTCTTTATCCAGATGTTTTATACGGATTTTACAATAAAGAAAAAATAAATTAAAAAGTTAAACCTAAAAGAAAACGTAAGAGACAGAATCAGTACTTCAAATTTCTCCTCGACTCCTTCTTCCCTCTCATCGAGCCATCGAGCTCCTCTTCTTCCCTCACGAGCTCTTGTTCTTCCCTCTCGAGCTCTTGTTCTTCACTCTCATCAAGCCATTTTTATCCAACCCTTCTTCTCTAGCCACCATTGAAATCTGGCCCAACACCAGTCCACTAACCCTCACTACCCCATGGACAGGGCGAACACCAAAGTCCTACGTACACTGCGTATACTAGGGCTTGGGGGGCTTGTGTACCAGTCGGGATCGGGCATCAACCAGACCGGACGTCCACATAACCATAATGATCCAACCACGCTACCCTTCTGCTTGATGTCCGTAGGCCCATGATTACGCAACCTTGCCGCTCGCCACCTGGATAAACAACAATATAAGGTCGGCCGATCGTACTGCCATCTAACCAGATTGTCTGTAGGGACCGACCGGTCATACCGCCAGTTAACCAGATGGCTTATATGGGTCGGCCGGTCGAAAGGCTAAACTTCGAGAGACCAGCCGGTCGTACCGCTAATTAGCCAAGTTTAAGGTAAGTAGTGGTTAAAAGCTATTGGGTTGAATTTGGGCCGTGATTAACTTTTCACTAATCCCAAGCCCATAGCAAAAACTATAAATACAGGTCCAAGGTGAGTGGTAGATAAGTTGCATTTACTGCACATTTATTACTGTTCTATCGAAAAGCACCATTGCTCTCAGACTGACTTTGGCATCGGAGAATCTTTCGCAGGTCTCCCACCCGCGCGTAGAGAAGGAAATCGAGAAGTAAGGAGCGAGAACCGAACACTCGAGAGACGAGAGGAGGAGGACGTGGAGGCATTGGACGACTCAGCCCCTACAACCGAAACACTATTCTTACTTATTTTGTTTTTATTCATTCATTCACCCATCATCATCCATCTTGAAAGAATTCATCTACAGATTTGTACGACTTGTATTAAAAGGAGTATAAAATCACCTAGATTAAAGATTGAACTCACATTGTAATTACGTCGTAGATCTAAATGATATACATTATTCTTTATTTCTTTTCAGACTTGGAAAGGTCTATTACTCCTTTGGTGATGTTTGGAGCTTCTTTGCGTGAAAATCTTTCGTTTTTCAAGTGAGGTCGAACTCAATCACTAGAGAGAAGGATAGCTCCCATTTTATTGATGTGCATGTTAGATATTGATCATCCTTCTTCTGAATTACAACTTAGACGTTAACATGTTTCACAACTATATTGTTAGACATCAAAATTTTATTTATTATTTCTTCAAAATCATAGGTATAATCATTTAAAAATTAGTTTGCGTTTATGGTGAGTATCATAAAACATGAAATACATGAGTTATATAACAATACATAAATTTATAGTATTATTATGGTAATACTTCAGTTATGAGAGAACTACTCCAGCTGCATTCGTAGTGATTTAAAATATTTATTCTGAATCAGTACGATGGTTTCTGGACTCTATCTCATTGGAACTTTGGCAAACGAAATCCACATTTTCATCTTCAACTGCTGGATCATCTTCGGGACGTACTTCTTTGTACGCATATTTCAAGGAGTAGAAACAAAAAACCAGAAGAAACACAGCGTTCAATATGCCCAACGTCAGATAGAACTTGTCCAAACGACTTGAGTCCAAAGTATCACCAAACCAACTAGGGATACTCAAGACAAGTGGTATGATCATGAATTTTCCATTACCAATCACCAATTCCTTGTATGCATCATCAAAACTCCACATTGATTTCGCCACGTGCCCATGGAACAAATTCTCGATGCCACCTTCAATAAGCCCCTTTGTGATTCCCAACGCTGAAAATTGCGGAAGCAAGGCCACTGTGGAGTTTCTACGATCCTCATACGTGCTTACCTTCAATCTACCAACCTCAACTTGCCATGCTATGAGGCTACAAATTATTGCACAAACCATACCAAGACCAATCCTCGCAATTGCTGCTTTCTTGTTGCACACATTATCGATGCAACTGAATATTTTAAAGTGTCCGATTGCACAACTAATAATATGGCAGATGGTTCCTGTCGCATCACTCGTGACCGCCGTGATCAAAACGAGAAAAGAGATATCATTATGACCTGTAATATTTGACCTCATGTTGCTTGCTTGCGAAACAAAGAAAGTGTTCTCAGTGGCTAGTAGTAAACTGTAGCCAAAGAATGCAAGGCACAGGCAAAACATGGGAACAAGGCTCTTCACATCGCTCACTTCCTTTACAGTGCAAAGCTTCTCATTCTTTTCTTGCAACTCCAGACTCTCTCTGGAATCTTCTGCTTCAAGTATAGCTGCTTTGTCCAACCACCTGAACAGACAGGGAACTGGTGGAAGTAACCTTACTCCTTCATGGTATTCATACGAACGACCTCCCTTACTATCCTTCCAATAATAGCCACTAGGCGAGGTTGGATATTTTTCATATCGTTTCCCTAAAGCTACTTTGAAGATTCTGTATATCTTGTGTAGATCGCTTTCGATGGGCAATTCTTCGCGGCTGTACCACACCGAACCAGCGAGGAACAACATGTAAGTCCCACCCATGAGAAGTGCCGCGAATAGGAACCGCTCCTCGTACGTCGTAGTGATGTTGATGACGGAAAGAAACATTGTCATCACAAAATATGCAACAGATGGCGCGATCGACCAACTTTTAGTTAGCACTTTACCCATGAAACCTTGCTCCTTTTTGTTTTCTGTGCTTCCACTACGTGCATGTCTGTCTTTAGTTTTCTCCTCCAATTGGTATTCATAAAAACTTTGTAAAAGCTTTTTACCACTTGTTCCTAATGCTAGGAAGAATATGGCTCCATAGACCGCACGAAATGTGGAAGGTTTGGTTGATGATGCAGATGTCCATAGTAGCATTAAACCCTGCAATAGAAATTATATGGTTTGGCCAACTGTTGACTAAGAGGAGAAAAATGAATTATATATTTGGTCATAGTAAATTTTTTCTTGATTCTAAAACAAAATTAATGATTCCATTTCTTAAAAGTAAAAATTTATTTTTTAATAACTAGCTATTTATAAATTGTGATTCATTAACTATCTTTGAGCTGCACAAAATCTTGATTCATACAAGAGACCGTCATCACTACTACAATATATAGAAGCATATAACACTTTTAAAATGTATTGTAGATTACTGAAAATATTAATTTATATATATATATATATATATATATATATATATATATATATATATATGTATGTATGTATATATGTGTATAAATGAATGACGTTTTAAAAATATGTTCTAATTTCCAATGGATAAAAACTAAAACCCTATTTGAAAGGCTGAAAACAATAGCGTTTTTTTTTAAAAAAAATAAAATTTAAGAAAAAGTATTAGAACTAAAAGTTATTAAGCTTCATATATAAATAAGAATTTACCTCTATTGAAGCTGCAGTGCAAAACGTTATCATAGTGTAATAACCTGTATATGCTGCTGAAATTTGAGAAACAATAACTACGAAGAGCGATGATAGACCATCTTGAAGATTTGTAGCAATGGCCGCTATTCGTTGACTCTCCACCTCCATTGAACCGTTGAAGTAATCCATCAATGTAGATACCACTGCGATTTCCACACATTTGTAGGTTACAACCAAAGCTGAAAACACAAGAATAAGAAAGTTCAGTTAAATTTAGTTCCCATAGATAACATAATTAGTTCCAGTCTTTAATGATTACCGCCAATGAAAGGTAGGGTATTAAAGTTGTCGAAAAGATAGCGAAGTGAAGCTATCGTGAAGTGCCAGAATTTCTTCGTAACACCCCTTGAATTGTTTTTTTCTGAACTGTTGTTTTCTTGCAGCGCCATGATGAAGTTTGAGTGGAACAGCACAATCAATGACCTTCAAAGTTGAAACTATTAGGAAATAGAAATATAAGCCTTACATGATACTTTTAAATATCTTTCTGGTGTATTTTTATTTCGCATAAACCTTAGGTAAATATTTTCCCTTTCATTTTTCAAGCCATAATGTTCCAATTATTATACTAACACAACCATATAATGAATGACCTTAAATAAAAAATAATAATAGAATAACTTACTAACTCTTACTCTCTCAATGCAATAACCACGACCACTCATTATAATCATCTCATAACACCAAAATTAATTTATTTCTACAAAACTCTTCCATAAACATAAATTCTGCCTTCCTCGTCATGATATTTTTCTGTATTCATGCAACGTTGCTGCAAGGAGTGGCTTCGTGAACATGTCAACAATTTGCTCTTTAATTCCCACATATTCTAAATCAACACTCCCTTCTTTTATATTTTCCACTTCTTCAACGGTTATTTCTTCCATTTCTTCAACGTTGTGAAGCGCTTACTAGGCCATACGCGTGCCTGGTATTCATGAGTTCTCTAGAGATCATGACAACATCTCATGCAAGCGGCCCCACTTGACACTCATATAGGTGATTTCATCAAGTGTATGCTGCAAATCATACACCAGCCACAAGGGATATGAAGATCATTAAAAACTTTGTTTAATCACAAAGTTTAACCTCTCAAATTTGCAGTCTCTAGCACTTTCACACACATCATACGAATGTACATGTTTGATTTAAAATTAAATTAGTGCTATCAGAACTAATTTTTTTTACCCATTGAACCTTATTCGTGGGATCTCCAATCACAAAGGTTGGGTTACCATCACTTGTTTGTTTGCTAGTGGCTTAAGTCTCATTCTCCTTGATGTTTCTAAGATCATATTTCTTCCCAAGGGTTTTGTTAGAGGATCTACTAGATTCTGTTATGACTTCACATAGTCAATGGAAATAGTTCCACTCTTTAGCAACTTCTTCACCAAATTGTGTCTCAATTGTATATGTCTATTGTTTCTATTGTAATTCTTGTTTTTAATTATAGCTATTACCGATTGGCAGTCATAGTCTATTGACACCGATGGGTTTGGTTTCATTCCTATTGAAATGTTTGCTAAGAAGTTTTTCAACCACTCAGCCTCACTATCAGCCATCTCAAGAGCGACAAACTCAGATTCCATTGTTGATCTTGCAATAATTGTTTGTCTAACTTATCTCCATGTAATCGCACCACCCCCAAGTGTGAATACATAACCACTAGTGAATTTTGTCTCATCTGAATCAGAGATCCAATTAGCATCATTGTACCCTTCTAGTACAACGGGAAATCCACTATATTCAATGGCATAATCCATTGAACCTCTTAATATCTCGTAAGCATGGAAAGTGCATCCCAATGTTCTTGATTTGGACATTGAGTCTACCTACTCAGTCTACCTACTGCATAAGCAATATCAAGTCTAGAAAAGCTCATCAAGTGCAGTAAAATCCTAATTATCTGGGCATACTGAGGCTGAGATAATGATTATCCTCTATTTTTCATTAATTTAGAGTTAGCATCATAAGGGGTACTCAAAGACTTGAAATCATAATACCCAAACTTCTTAAGAATTTTCTCAATGTATTGTTCTTGGGATAGTAATATACTATCTCCCTTCCTTATGATTCTCAATGTCTTTCATTTCAAAGTTCGATCTTAGAAACAGTTTAGTTATAGCGACAATTTCATTGTATGTACTCAAAATTAACATGTCATCCACATACAAACATATAATGACACAATCACCATTTTCAAATTTAGAGTGCACACATTTATCAACATCATTAGATGAAAAACCATCACATAGCAATACATTATCAAGTTTTTCATGTCAATTTTTTGGTGGTTGTTTCAACCTATACAAAGATTTTAAAAGTTTACAACTTTATTCTCTTGACCTGGTACAACACACCCTTCAGGTTGAGTCATATAAATTTCTTCCTCTAAATCACCATTCAAAAAGGCAGTTTTAACATCCATTTAGTGTATCAGTAGCTTATGGATGACTGTTAAGGCTAACAAAATTCGAATCATGGAAATCCTAGTCATAGGGGAAACGGTGCCAAAGTAAACTATGTTGGGTCTTGCCTTATACTTCTCTATAGATCCTTCAGGATGATACTTTTTCTTAAAGATCCACTTACAACCAATGGGTTTTGCTCCTTTAGGAAAATCTACTATGGTCCAAGTATTATTTTTCAGAATTGATTCAACGGTGGTGCCATTTTCTTCTCTGATCTCACCAACCGGTAACCAAAAATTATGTTAAATATAACAATACCCCTTTCTCTATTTTCCCTTTTTTTTCTAATAATGATAAATCTAAAGGAGGAGAAAAAGAGTAGCAGTGGTACACTCCTACGAGTTTGATCTCATTGTCAAGAACCGACATGGGGGTGAGAAATGATAACAGTGACAGATGCGTGGAGGAAGAAAGCAGAGGGAGGCGTCAGCCGTGATGTCGACGCTGTGGACGCCGAAGGTCGTACCGCGCTCCTCTTTGTAGCCAGTCTTGGCTCGCAACCGTGCATGAAGCTGCTGGTGGAAGCCGGCGCGAACCTGGACCATTGCGACCGCAACGGCGATCTCGCTGCACTGCACATGGCGGCGGGGTACGTGGTACTCGGTGTTGTGAATGTGTTGCTAGATTTGGGCGCAGATCCTGAGGTGGCAGAAGACCGTGGAAGAACGGCGTTGGATTTGGCGCGAGAGATTCTGAAGGCGACGCCAAGGGGAATCTGTTGTAGTTCGGGCGCAAGATTGGGCTTGAGGGAGTGGTTAGGGTTTCGGAAGGGGCTATGTTCGAGTACGCGGAGGTGGTGGAAAATCTTAAATCTAGGTGTAACTTAAATGAAAACTTTTGTGTGGTTCTCTTTCTTCTTCTATTCGAAACAGAAGACTTCTTTCTTTATTTTCTTCTAGTTTGAGAAATTTCTTCTTTTCTCCATACTTTTTCATGTCCAACTCCAACGAACACATGTCCCTAGTCATGTATCTCCCATACTTGCTCGCGCCTTTCAACTTCGTTTATGGGTGGAGAGATTTTCCCGTCTTCATCTCACTAGTACAAAAATCGCGTACAACGCCGAATATTTTGGGCTTTTAACGGCGAATTCGCGAAAAACGTCATATCAGGAGACGTTAAATTTACGTCGAATTTAAAAAACTTGATGTTAAATTAACGTCAAATTTTGTTGATATACGACGTTAACTTAACATCGAATTTTGTCAATATTCGACGTTAATCAATTTTTTTGTTTTTTTTAATTAATTATGATCCTTTTTTACAACTCTACAAGACCTGAAAAAGCATAAAAACAACAAATTTTAGTGTTTGGTATTTTGTAAAGCATGAACTATGAACGTGTAATGTAGTATCAACAAGAAACAATAATAACCAACAACAATCAAGTTCAATCAAACAACAACAAACAAGTTCAACTAAACAATAACAATAAGCAAGTTCAACTAAACAATAACAACAAACAAGTTCAACAAAAAAAACAACAAACAGGTTCTTCAAAACGAAAACGAAAATGAAAAATAGCCTTCAAAAGGTGGGTTCGTCGGAATAAAGTTTCGTCACAGTGAGGGAGAAAGCAAAATGCGCCTTTGAAAGACAAGAGCACGCAAATAATCGGTTAAAACAAACAAAAATCATACATAAAGTAATTAATTAATATGCATTTGTATCAAATGAAAGAAAAATTACATGTGATGCTCGTCAAACTTCGTTCAAGAAAAGTTTGAGAAGAGAAGATGGTATCGCGTGCTAAGACAAAGTGAATGAATTTTCAATCTTCCGCTCAAATTTTTATTGAATTCACTAACCTTTTGACGTCGAATTTAAAAGTCATTCGACGTTTTATATCATTTTACGTCGAATTATAATTCTAAACGACGTTTAATAATTGCATTTATTTACAAAAATGTCACCGCTCAATTTTAACGTTGGTTATTCAGTGGTTGGACGTTAAACGTGTGACGTTATACGTTGTTTTTGTACTAGTGTCATCGTGCGAGATCTTCCCGTCTTTGTGTCCAAGGTCTCGTGTGCAGTAATTGCCACTTCGTAGGCCACTGCGTCGTCGCCTCTCGTAGGCTGCCATGTTGCCTGGTATTAGCCCTTCTTTTTTGCATGCATAAAATACTTTTGGAGATGGATGCTAAATCAGTGAGACAACCTCAAAGAAGACTGAATCCTTAACTGATGGAGGTTATAAAGAAAGAGGACACCAAGTTGCTACAAACAGGTATTATATACCCCAATTCTGACAAGACTTAGGTGAGCCTTATACATGTGGTTCCCATGAAATATGGAATCACAATGGTCAAGAACGAGAAGGACAAGTTGACTCCTATTCAGGATAGAAGTGGGGCACATAATTTAGTAGTTAACCATCTTAGTAGGATTGAAAAGGGAAAAGATAGCATTCCGATGTAGATGACTTTTCCGATGTAGTCCTACTAGCATTCCTTCCACCATGAAGGAGGTAAGTACCCTCATACTTTTTCTTTGCATTCTATATATAAAACATACATTGTGGATAATGCATAGTTTATGTGTGGGGGTGTGGGAAAACAATTAACTTTGTTCCCTATTTTGTTTTGTTTTTTTTTTAAATAAATATTTGCAATGAATTTGAGAGTTTGAATCAGTAACTGGGATGATCATGAATTCAAGAGAAACAATGAGTTATGTTGATATGAGTGGATTGCTTCTATGATATGCTGATTGAGTTGACTTGAGAATTTCTTTATTAAATCTTTTGTCAAAGAAATTTGAACCATGTGAGTTTTGAGCTTAATGTTAAGGATGGACCACCATGTACCATACCTATTTTTCTTGATTGATTTGCCCATGTTTTGTTGATACTCTAATATTTAACTTGATTCTGTGTTGTGCAACTGAGGTGAATATGCACGATTTGATATGATTGA